ATTGCACTTTCAAAATTCAAACTCGCAGTCTCGCAGACGAATCATTCAGAATCATCAACACAGGAGAGGATCAAGGTAGCCAACGTACGTCCAATAAGGAACAACATTTTTTTCAAACTAAATTACAACAAACTATTAATTGATTATTGATTTCTTCAAATGAAGCGTGTTTAGCCAACTTTAATCAAAGTTAAATAAACTCAAAGAAACATCAAGTTTATTTGTCCAAGTCAAAGAATTTTTATCTTTGATGGATTTTTGCAAATATTTAAATTTTATTTAGTTTAAAAATATATTTTTCTTGTATCCAACATCCCAACTGTCCCAACTTGTAGCAAGTAAATTCCCAACTTTTCTCTTTCCCAGATTCTGAGGGGGGGGAGAGGCTTGCCCCCTACCCCTACCCCCTACCTCCCAAGACGATGCCCCTGCTGACAATTGATACATTTAGACTTCAGTATGTTATGTATATTAGACCATCAGTCAATGGTTTAATGTAGTATTGGAAAGGAATTTGCAAGGCACCTGCTTATAGGGTATATTGAGTTTTAATAAATACAGTTACAAAAAACTATAAAATAGTACATTGAAAATATTTTGACAGTTAAAATATTGTATAAAATCACTTTATACAAAATTCAACATAGGGTATAGTAATATTCTAACAGATTGAAATATTATTTTGGTATTACATTGCTTATAATAGTTAAAATGAGTGTGCATATAAGACAAATTATATTGTGTATATAACCATATATATATATACTCTAGACAAAAAACATAGAAGAGATATTTGATGACAGACTTACAAAACAAAAAGAAATTAAGAATAAACTTTGACGGATGACCTTTTATTTTTTTAGCCTCAGCACTCAGCATGTAAAAAAGTAATTACCCTCAGTGGGTTTGAAAAAAATAGGAATGTGTTGATTGTGTTGACAATTGGTGTTCTGCTGGGACATAGAGAATCCATCGTCAAGACCTGATACCCAACATTGAATAAGAAAAATTAGTTTGAGATTCAATTTAAATTCTATGTAAAAACTGCCACACCTAAGAGCAATGAAAGAATGTTGAGCAATGTAACTGCTTGTATTGACGCACATGAAATACCATTGTTGGATGTCAAATCTACCTATTATAAAATTATTTCCACTGTTGGAAAATGTGGAGATATTGCACAGTAGATAATTCAATATCAGACAACGCTTCTTGCTGACACTGTATTCATACTGATACTGGTATCATGTATCATGTCAGTAGGTCCTTCAAAATCAGGCAACCAGTAGAAAATATCATAAGATAAGATCATGTCAAGCTGATATGGTCATCGTCACTTTGTCCTCGTGTATTCAATAGTTTCACCTATATACTGAGCCCAACCAAAGTAGAATTTTGTCAGAATTTGAATGATCTACAGGTTCTATGAATATACTATGTTGAAAAACGGGAGCAGGTTAAATTCAAACAACAAATTAAGATTTGGTCATCACTGGCAAATCCAAACTTAAATAATCTTGTCTTAAAATTTTGGGCCAATATTTTCTAAGCTGGGAATATTTTTCACATTGATCGATTGATAGCCAGAATGACAGTCAAGGCTACGTAGCTTATGGTTCGTTGGCTTTTACATTTTATCCACACAGCTGTCCGAACATCACCCTAAAGTGAGACGTAAGATGGCAATATAACGGGTTGTGCGAATCCTATTCGAGTCTGGTTCCGAGTCAGAACCTGGAAGTGTGAGTCTGGGGCTTGACTTAGGCTCATTACGGTACCTCGAGTTGATAAAAACAGACTCGTGTCTGCACTTGACTTGACTTAACGCGACACTAAAGACAGTTAATTATTCTTAATGGTTCATAATTTTACACTTTATTCTAAATTGTAAATATAAGCAATATAAGCAATATATAAGCAATACAGGTCTTATAGTAAAATTTTGTTTTTGATATTTGTTCGTAAGATCTTCATTTACCTTTGAAATGGTAAAAACTGAATGTGCTACTTAGAATTTAAATTTGAACTGGTTTTCTTTGATTGTTCATTGCTCACTTATTTTGTTATATAAAAAATGTCTCACTACCCCACAATTGCTTCATGTAAGAACATAAAGACAGGGATTAGTTTTCATCACAAAAAATTAAAACAAAAAACAGTTGCAGCAAACCTGCCGACTAAGCAAATTTCCATTTGTCTGGATTGATTTTTAATTAAATTTAAATAGCATTAGGTGTAACGATTACCGATTACCTAGGTTTGCTGCTACAAGGAAACTAATTAAGTGTGTTTTTTAGTAAAATATTAATAGTTTAGTATAAGATAAATAAATTTGCCAAGTTTGATCAAACAAAATATATTCATAAACAAGCAATCTACATTAAAAATATTCTCCATAAGAATAACATGGGAATTTTAAATTAAAAACATTTAAATTTTCTCCGTTACCAATAAACATACAAAAACTCCTTGATATACTAAATCATTTTTTTTATCTCTTTAAAAAAAAAGTCTAGAGAGAAATTGGAAAATTGTGTGTTATGAGAGTCAAAAACGAGAAAACCCAATTTTTACTCCATAAAACCCTTGACAAACCCCGTTCCCATGGTCCGATCTTGCTGATTTGCGAACTCATTTAAGTTTATCCTGCCTTTAAGTATACCTTTAAACCAAATTTAATCAAAATCGGGCAAAAATTACTCAAGTTATCATGTTCACAGACACATATATTTTATATACAAACATATATAAAAATTTGAGCGAATGGTACTTGGCCTCTGGGGACATCAAAATTAAAAAGTAAATCGGTCCCGGGCCTAGGTCTTACCTTGACACCTACCTTTTATAGGGAAATTCGCTAAAATCCACTTTTCAAGGGTTTTAGGGGGACCTGAAGATTGAACTGTCAAGGTAAGAATAAATAATTTACATAATTAAACTGAAATTCACTACTTTCAGTTTATCTAAAAAAAAAAAAAAAATAAAAAAAAACTTTGTTAGCTAACCTTGACTCTGCCCTTAATAACTTTTGCACTGAATGCTATACAGGGTGAACAATTTAACTGTGCCACCATTGGTATCTCAGAAACTATTAGAGAGAACATTAAATGGAGAATATCTACTAGTTTTTTATGACATAAAAAATATGAATTCCAATGTTTCAAAAATAGCCATTTCCCAATATGGCGGCTAACTTTAAAATTTCTTATGTAACACCCTTCTTATGTTTGTTTTAGATTCTAAATAATTTTAAGATTTTTTTACTCTTGGCATTTTCCCTCTAAACCTACTTGTTTAGGAGCTACAGTGTGTTAAACATTGAAAAATTATCTAATGACATAATAACTATAATGACACGGCCAGCTAATTATCAATGTTGCATAGTTCAATTGACAAGGACACAATAACAAAATTATATTTACATAATCAATCAAATATGAACTATTGTAAAGATGCCAAGTTAGTTGATGTGAACGTCCACAGATGCCAGTAAGATAATTCGGAATTGCAGCCTTAATTGCACCATGACTACATAATATAAGTAGTACTGTTGATACACATTTAGGCCCAATTTTTTAGGTTTTAGATTATTTGTGTTCTTGACATACATTTTTGTTATTAACTTTTATAAAAGTACAAATAGTTTCCTAAATTATTATTGCTGAATACTGTCAGTGGCGGTTCCAAGGGGGGCTACAGGGGCTAAAGCCCCCCTTGGACCCTGGAAAAATAAATGTAAACATACATTTTATTCTTAAAACACACAATGTTATAAAACATACATCAATATAGTTTTTATTAAACTAAGTAAGGGATGGCAGGAGTAGTATTAAGTTCCACATATATAAACTTTGTGGGGCAATAGCACGACAAATAAAACAACACTATGCTATGGAAAGTCATACGCCTCATCCAATTTTTACAGCAATCAGCTGTTGACATGCGCGAGCGACTGTGACTGCGAGGACGGGGAAACAGCTTATGTGATGTTCCTAGTTGTCAAATTGCCTGCTTGCTACTAACGTACACAGGCATCAGCCATCAGCGGTAGCACCAGTAGCCTCATTGACTATAGAAACACTTGTAATTAAGTTTATATAGTCAATGCTATTACTGAATTTGATACTATACATATTCTTACAGATCTATGAAATGGAGAAAAACGGAAGGTTATAAAACGTGTCTACTTGTTTGCATGACATATAACAGGTCAAATGTTAGGTTTTTGGACAATTGGTCACAGATCTGTACTGATACCCGGCAGTGACCAGGATCCGAACCCACGACATCGCTGCCTTGGGCCCGAAATCCGCGACGCTACCAACTGAGCCACCGACTTACTAAGGTTATAATGGCTTTAGAAAGTCACCAAACGGCTTTTAGGAGGATATGGCCATAGTTTACAGTGTGTTTCAAAATTCATTAATGCAATCGTCATAGTTTAATTTTTTAAATGTCTTCTTGCTCATTACAAACAACAGGTGAAATGGGAGTTTATGGACATTGGGCACAGTTTTAGGTGTTGAAAATGGCTTTACAAAGTCACCAAATGGCTTTGAAAATTCCAAATTTTCCCCCAATAACCCCCTCCTTAACAAGGTCATAGAACCGCCACTGAATACTGTACTGTACTAAGTAAGACAAAGAAATTGTTTTATCTTGCTTCTACAGTCACCTTTTATTATGTAAACATAGATTGAGCTCTAATTATAAGGTTGAGCATGCAAGAGTCAAGCTATAAAGGTTACGACGTAATATTATTGCCAAAATTCAACAGCTCAGTACCTCAAAATTTTGCTGTAACACCTTAATAACTCGAATCTCACTTACTCTTTCAATAACTTCAATTTTTATCCTTTCCCTTCAGCTTCCAGAACCAAAATCCTACTGCATGTTAATATTTTGTATCACAGAATATTTTGCCAATTTCGGCATTCAAGAATAATTCTTTACTGGTGTTTTGCTTTAGTAGGTAGGCCTAATATTTTTTTTTCTTACAGGTGATGAAAATGAGCACAGAAAATGGACCTTCAGATGTTGACTGATGAAACTTCATATACTATAAATACTTATATATATATACTATAAATACTTATCTATTCAACAATTTTGATTTACAAAATAAGTGACTAAACATGTTTATTGTTGAATCAATCTTATCTATTTTTGTAATACTTTGTATTACCATTATGTTTTTGAAGGTAAAGCAGAAACTGCAAAGTATTCTTTAAGTTGTTCGAAATTTGATAATGCCAGGTGCATTTTAGATTCAAGATAATATATAATTTTTGTTTATGTTATTCTTTATTAGGAGATATTCAATTTTTTGTTGTTGAAATTCATATATTTAGACATTTAGATTTATATTGTTTTTGTTTTATTCAGATTTATTTTGTTCACACAAATTATGTCATACTTGTAAAATGTCATCATAAAACCATAGCACTTATTGTTCTTTATGCAGTTCTTTATCGTAAAAAATTCAGTCTTACTAGTTAGAGGAGCAATGTAGCCTATAATCCAATAAATACATTTTCTTTTGGTTATTCTCTAAAAATAAAAGTTTCTACTCACCACTTCATTAGCAGTTTGTGTGCTTTACTACTTGAAATGAAGAGTTTTGAGGATGATTTCTTTTGTGTTAAATTGTCATTTCAAGTAATAATTGTTTAAATGTCTTTTCAACATTGAATGCCAGTTTAATTAATAGAAATGCAGTTTTAAAATGACTAAGATGATTAAATTAAATTAAGGCAGATTAATTCTGATATTTAAATCTAAAATGATTCAACTAAACCTTGTTGTCACAAGAAGAAATATTTAGATTTAAATATAGGCTATATCCACTTCTTGTAACTGCTTTAAGTCTCAATAGAATCCCACAGTTTTTTTTTTATTTTCACTTAGGTAACATTTTTGTAACTTGTTACAATGCTTTGGTCAAAAATTTCGTTTTTTTAAGTTATTCTATTTTATGATTGTTTTTATTGCTACCCAACAAATACAATTTCACCAGTAACAAAAGTTTGGATTTTTTTTCGGTAATTCTTAGTTCTAAAAAACTTAATTAAAAAATGAATGTGAAATTGTATTGTTGTTATTTTTTTTGCTAACATGTAATATTGTGGAATTCTCATATAGAAGTCAGTCTTTTTCATTGTTTGTTATACCTGTCTTATGTTCGAGTAATAAATGTTGAATATCTCCAGACTTTGGCTTTCTTAATCCTCATTCATCCTATTTCATAATTTTAGGCTATTAAGATGTGTTTTACAATTCCAGCAACACATGTACATATATACCAATTGTTGAATAATCGCCATACTCAAGCATTGGCTATACACAGAATAGACTTCCCATGTGATATGGAAGTTTGAAGCCGATAAAATAGATGAAGTTCAGGACCATCTCACTCACCAGTTTACTGGTGTATTGGGTTGAATATTAATTAAAACCAATGCAGTATCATAGCAAACAGCTGATTGATTGATCACTTAACATATAATATTGTCATTAGTTGGCGACCATCTCAACAGATTTCACCACTTTTTTTGCTTCAAATTTTTACATTACATGGGAAGTCTATTCTGTGTATAGTCAATGATTATATACATTATCTGCAAAGTAAATTGGTCTCTGGTTAAGGTCCTACCAAGAGACCTACGGCGATAGCTTATTCCCTATATGGGGTTCAAAGGAGAAAAAGAAAAAGATAATTGTTAGGGTTAATTAGAAAATATAGTTATGTGAATCAAAAAGGTCACTTTAAAATCAGTTAGTTTCCAACTCCCAAAAAATATATACAAATCTATCCATAAACAAGCAAACTTTAACAGTTTACTTTTTCTCCTTAAATCATTGGGAATTCAAATGTTTAGATTACTCTGTAACCTTTAATCCTAAAATATCGCTTTAATATACAACGGTTTTGTTAAAGCTCTATGATGGCTGTAGAGAAAATTGGTAACTTTTATTTAAATGGGCAAAGATTTGCGAAGAATTACAAAATGTCAAAACCGATAAAACTCTGTTTTCATGACCTTGCTGGTTCACAAACTCATTCAAGTGTATACAGACCTACACATTCATGTCAAGTTTAATCGAAATCGGGCTAAAACTACCAGTTATTGCACACATATACTCAAAGTGTTTGCTGTGTTCAAAGTGTTTGCAGTGTTCAAAGTGTTTCTTGTGTTGTAAGTGGTTGCACAGGCACACATATACTCAGAGAGAATATCATAAGTTGTCAACCATTCATTTTAGACAAACTGTTGGTTTTAAAGTGATGCAATAAAGACTTTTCCCTCCAAACTAACCATGTTACTGTAATTGTATTACCAAACAATAAATTAGAAACAACAAATTTTAGGCATTTGGAATTGAAATGCATTTTATATGGAAAAATTAATTTTTTTGTTTATTACTCAAATACTAAAAGAAATAAGACAGTAAGTGTAAAATGGAGAGTTGTTAATCTTAACACGCTTAAAATGATGCTATTTGACATATGTTGAAAATTGATTTTTTTAATTTACAGGGCTACCAACATTTAAAAAAATTTGTTAAAAAATGATAATTTTGAAAATTATTAAATGTGAAACATCATTGTAAAGGCCCGTTTTGCCAGAAGCGTCTCGTGCGTCTGACGCTCAGCGTCTATCGCTCCGCGTCAATCGCTGCCCACTGCTTTGCATTGTTTTAGGTTGGTCTATTTTGCCAGAAGCGTCTATCGCTACAGCCGCCAGCGTCTGTAACTGAGACGCAAGCGTCTGACGCGGACCACTGCTCCTGGAGCAGACGGAGACGCAGTCGCTAGCGATTATTACTGGAATAAGCACGTGTTTAGTTGTTGACTTAACTTTTGTTTCCTAAATAAGTTGTGTTTTCAAGTTTAGTGACATGTCACAAACAAAGTGGGGATTCAATAGGTAGTGAATAAGATGAAAACCCGATTGAAGCCATTTTGAACCATTTTTGATTGAAACAGCACACGACTGTTAAGTCAATTGTAAATTGATTTTCAAATATCTATACTTATTTAATACGCAAGCGGGGTTTTTGTGACAATTACTCCTCCGAAACTACTGAACCGATTGACATATTTTGGTGTCATCGGAAAGAGCGTAACGTGAAGTTGTGCAGGAAACTTTCTTTTTTGGGAAATAATTAGAGAGTACCACTGTCACATTTCTTGGGCCCTTTAAAGTTTCGTATTTCTCCATAAGATTAACATGGAAAACACAAATTGTTATGAAACTCTAGCTGTTGTCAGAAATAATGAGTGAGAAGAAGAACGTATGTTAATTGTAAACAATTAATAAGTTTGTTAATTTTAACAGTTTGCTACAAACATTTACTGACTCGGTTGAAATGAAATAATTAATATTTGAATTTAGGTTGGTGTAAATATTACAATGGGAAAAAGCAAGAGAGCCTGGATAAATTGATGTATTAAAAAGAAAACTAAATTAACACTGTGCTGCATTTCTTAGTAATCATTGAAAGAGCCGATTTGCAAACTATGGTAACATAGGAAAGTCATAGAATACCACCGATGAGAATAAATATAATAATGTTTTTTTATTTTTATTTTTTTATTTATAATCGTTATTATATGGACAACCAATAGGGTCTACGGCTATGAGTAAGGCTATTTGTAGAAAACACTAAAAAACAAGATCAGTTTTTGAAAAATTATAAGATATTTACAAAAAATGTTGATTATATCAATCTGTTATGTTCATCTTTGAGTATTTCCATAATCTTTGAGTCGAATTTTTTAAAGTCAACAGAAATTATTACTGTTATTTATTTTAATTTAACGCCTGTAATGCTTAGCAATTGCTCGAATTCGAGCAACAGGGACACTAGTTAATTTAATATATCCCTCTTCAGACCTCTTTAAAAACATAGTACGCCCTTCTTCCCTAGGTTTGCAAAACATTTCTAATATTCATCATCGTCTAATTCCTCAGCTAACAAATACTTTACTATTTGCTTTTTACTGGTCATTTTCAAAAACACTCCTTTTGCCACCAAAGTAAACCACCTACTGATCAAATAATCGCAAGGAACAGACGCTTCTGGCAAAATAGGCCCGTGCGATAGACGCTGAGCGATTATCGCTCTAGCGATCATCGCTGAGCGTCAGACGCACCAGACGCTTCTGGCAAAACGGGCCTTAAAGCTGTGATTATCATGATTATGAATTTTCAATCAGAACGGAAAAATGTTTAGCGGTTTTGAAAATACAAGGTATTACACCAATACGCGAAAAATTCACAAAAGTGGCGCCATTTAAAAAAATATTGAGTTATGTTCTCACCAAAATGTTGATCTAAGACCTTTCTAAAAAAGATATAGGTTCTCATAAGGAAGTTTTAAGATTTGAACACGTGACCTTCATTTTTAGAACACCCTGTAAGTTACTTGGATCATGTTCTAAGTATTTTAAATAGATTTTAAATGGAATTTTTTGGATGGATGGTATATGATTTAGGAGGCAATAACTTTTTTAGCATTTCTAGGTGTAAACATACTACCGTAAAAGTATGTGTACAGGTGGTCTGCCTCACCGTGTATTTGAGCTACTTATTTATTCTATTCTGCTAATAAGTTACCTTAATACTTCCAAAATAACAATCAATGAAACAAGATAAAGCTGAATATTACTTTATTACATTAAAAGCTGAACAAATAATAAAGTAGGATTAAACAACAATAAATCAAGTTCTTGGCTATGTCCTTGGAGCCTCTTCCATGGCAGCTTTCCTCTTGAACATCTGTCCTATGCTCAGGCCATGCAACTGGAAAGCAATACAAATTAAGTGTTAGTTTTGTCAGGGGAATAGCACTTAGATTGACCACTTACTGACTTAGAAAGTACTATCACTAAGGCCAGCCGCACATCTAAACAGCACGGCACGGCGAAACGTTTTCGTCTCTCCTCGCCGTGCCTTGCCATGCCCGATAGAGAAGAGCTGCATACAGCACGGCACGGCAAGACGTACATAACATAGAAGTAACCACAGCTTTTGACAGGTGCTGTCCATTTCAGTCCACGTGGTGTCAATCCTCGCGCATGCGCACATCGTTTTGCCTCAAGCATTTTGCCCGATAGACGAAAATTGAAAAGGCAGTACAAAGCGCTGTGCTGCGCTGCTTTACCTTGTCTTGCCATATCCGATGATGTGTGCGGCACCTCTATTTGAAATAATAGAAACCTGGTCGCATAAGACGCCTTAAGGCAAAACACCGTTCCGTGCATCTGGTGTGCGCCCGACCTTGGAGATCAGAATAGACATTCCACCTACTATATATGCATCAGCTGTAGCCAATTATTGATTTAGAGTGTTCACTTTAAAACTTATATTTCCTCCCTTAGATTTTGATACTATTGTAGATATAAAAGATACAATGGTCAAATTTTTCTGTTAGGGTGGTTTAAGTTTGGCCCATTTAAGAGAAATCAATTACTTACATTAACACCATCTGTTGTAGGCTTGATTTTACTACATACTGTACTTTTTTTTTAACTGGGTGGAATGTCTAAGTTTATTTCAAACACAAAGGTCCCAGGACAGTATACAAAAAGTTCAAAATACAGTTTGCTAGACAAATCCACCTCCAAGGGCTTCACCAGAATGAGATACTGAATGGAAATTTAGTATGTATGTTCCAACAAACACTAATCTACTATATCAACACAATCTCTAATCACTGTAAAACTAGTTTATAAATACATTTAGAAAAACGTAGTATAAATACTCACTGGTAAAGTTATTTTTCTAAAAAGGTCCCTTTTTACTTTATTTTTGGTTTGGGCTTCAATTATGCTCTCAAAATTTTCAAGGTCGGAGAGATTTACGTTTGGGATCTGCTTCATCACCTATAAAATGAACATAATGTGAGATCGACAAAACATTTAAATAATTGGGACTCTGTAGCGAGTGCCAAACGCTTATGGCTCAATCCTGGGATTTGTCCAAGCTAATCCCGGGGTTATTATATTTGATTTTTTTAAATGAGCCTGGGGTTCCATTTGTTCAGTCCTCTAATATGTTTAATTACCCTTACCAATGTTGCACTTCATAGTTTTGCCAGTGAAAACATATTACCACACGGAACTTTCATCACATTTTCTTATTTACAGTGTACAAATGTTGATAAGCCATTCTGTCATCAAATACATACAAAATAAAAGAGGAGCTACTGTATTTATTTGCATGTAAACATTAAGCTTTACTCAACACTAAGCTCGATAAGTTGCTCGGCTGATTACTTTGACTACTGGGTTCCTAATAAGTGGTTATGGTGTGATTGAGTAGTACACACACATACAAGCACGCCATCTAATTTTTGGTGGTGATATTTAAAGTTTAAAGCCTGCTCCTTAAATCATGGGTTTAATTTTGAATGTTAATGTTTTTGTTTTTAGGTGTTTGTAAACAACAACAGTAAGAGGACATGCTGTATATAAAACAAGAAGTAGATAGACTGTTTACAGAAGGGATTATAGAGCCAAGTTCACCCCCCTGGAGAGCTCAGGTAATGGTTATAACAAATGACAAAGGAATGAAACGTATGGTAGTGGACTATTCACATACTATAAACAATTCAATCTACTTGATTCCTATCCATTTCCGAATATAGACGACATTGTGTCAACAGTAGCAACTAATTAAGTATTCAGTGTAATTAATTGACCTCTAACAAGCTTATCATCAAATAGCTATACCGGCATGTGAAGATAAAAAGCCATGCACAGCTTTTGAGGCTGTTGGTCGCCTGTTCCAATTTAGAAGAATTCCATTCTGTGTGACTAAAGGAGTGTTCTGTTTTCAAAAGACCATGGATCAGATAATATAAAACGAAAATTTTTATAGGTGTGTACGCATATATAGATGACCTGACTGTCATCCTGTGTGTGGAAAGGACCAATTGGATCATGATAAAAATTTAAGAAAATTCTTAGAAGCCCTAAACAAGTATGGTCTTGTAATGAAGAAAAGAGCAAGTTCAATGAAACCTCAATCGTCGTGGGCATTTGGTTTCCTATAAGACTATCCACCCCGATCCAGATAGACTGCAACCACTCAAGGAACTTCCAGTACCAAATGATCAGACTGCATTGAAGCAAGTTTTGGGATTTTTTGCTTATTATTCAAAGTGGATCCACCGATTTTCAGACAGAATAAGGAATCTGACTCAAGTTAGGTCAATCCCTCACATGAAGGTGATAGAGACTTTAAAAATCCAAAGATTGACATAGCCAATGCACTTATTACTCCTAGAGATGGACAAGAACCGTTGGTAGTAGAGTCAGACGCTTCAAATGTAGTGCTGGCAGCAACCTTAAGTCAAAATAATAGACCGATAGCCTTCTTCTCCAGGACTTTAAATAAATCTGAGATATTGTATTTGGCAGTTGAAAAGGAAGTCGCTGCAATCGTTAGAGCCCTAAGAAAATGGAAATAATTCCTCATTGGAAGAGAATTCAAACTGTATACAGATAAGCAAGATCTTTCATTTGTGTTTGATAAGAGGCATACAAGTCAAATAAATAATGACAAAGTAATGAGATGGTGCCTTAAACTTACACCTTACCAGTACGACATTGTTTATTGCCCTTGAAAAGATAATGAAAAGGCAGATGCATTGTCTTGAGTGTGTTCGGTATGCTCAGATAGTGCAAAACTTCTTGAACTCCACAAATCACTGTGTAATCCAAGGATTGCCAGAATGTTTGATTGGATAAAGAAAGAAACTTAAACTACACACTCGAGGATGTCAAAAGAATGATATTTGCATGCCAAATGTGTGCTGAAATAAAGCCAAGATTCCACCATTTTCAAAGGAAACTGATAAATAAAATAAAATAAAATAAAATAAAGGCTATGACTCCTTTTGAACGGCTGAACATTGATTTCAAAGGTCCTCTGCCGTCAAATACCAGGAATTTGTACTTTTTAACAATGGTAGATGAGTACTCGCCATTTATTTTCACTTACCCTTGTAAAGACATGAGTTCTGTGACAGTCATTGCTCGTAATTCAGATCTGTTTTCAATGCTTGGGACTCCTGCCTTCGTACACTCTGATCAAGGAGCTTCGTTAATGTCACGTGAGCTGACAGATTTCCTACACAACTATGGAGTGGCAACTAGTTGTACAATTCCATTCAACCCAAGAGGAAATTCCCAGATTGAAAGATTTAATGGAACCATATGGAGAACCATTCTTCTTGCACTGAAAACGCATTACCTGCCAGTTACCTCAAGGGAAGATGTGCTGCACGAGGCACTTCACCCTGTCAGATTGCTATTGTGAACTACGAATAATTGTACACCTCATGAGAGATTTTTAACCATAGTGGCAGAACCAAAAACTGAGAATCCCTACCCTCATGGCTGACTAGCTCTGGTCCGGTATTGATGAAGAAATACGTCCGTACAAGCAAATATGATAACCTTGTAGAACGACTAGATCTCCTAGAAGCAAATCCTGAATATGCTTTAATAAGGAGGGAAGATGGTTCTGAGTCCCAAGTATCACTAAGACATCTTGTGCCTGCTGGACTACGAACTAGTGAGTATACATCTGATGAGTGTCTAAACGATCAACGTGAGGATGATCAAGAGTTAAATGTTGACAATTGTAATCAGCACAAAGTTATACAGTAGAACCTTGATAACAAGACTCTCATGGGGATTATAAAATAAGTCTGGTTATCAAGGTTGATTTCTTATTGAAATTTGCAATAACATGCGTTTAGAGGTAATAACAGTTCAAGGGAATTTGAAAAATACACTTCTTATCGAGAGTGACTTATTATCGAGGGTCTTCTTATTGAGGTTCCACTGTAGAAGCACGAAAAAATCCTGATCCAACATCATCTGGAGCTCCACCTGAAGAGATGCCCTTGGGTAGGATTTGCACAGGGAGACTTGTCAGACCTCCAGTCTATCTTAAAGATTATGTCTGCTAGACCAATTAAACAAAACTAGTGGGGGAGAATGTGGTGAAATTAATTATCAGCAGATCGGTTTAACTGATCTAAATTGGCAGGAAGTGGACAGTACTGAAACAACTTTTCTTGTAGGAATGGTTTAACCCTCGAGGAGGCGCTTCACCAGTAAAACAGGAGCGGGCGCATGTGGTGTTTTATTCCTCAACACTAAATAGCATAAATTTTAACCATTTTACTTGTTATTATAACAAAATATTATGTGTAAATGTTGAATAACCTAATCAGAAACCTAATTTCTTTGTTAATAACATTATTTGTTTAACTTTATATGAGTAATATTTCAAATAATCAAATTGAGCAATTTTTTAGTATAAAGGTATGTTATGGAAGAGGGCGCGTGCGGAGTTTTGTTCTGCAATAATGCAATTATACATATACATGCGAACAAAATATATTTGTTAATAATTATAAATGAAATAATACATTTAAACATGTTTATAATTTTGTATTCAGGGTTGGCACCACTGGTGCAGTTGTTGTATGACATGCTTGTTGCTAGCTCCCGATAATTTGGTAAATTATAAAAGTTTATTGCCGAGTCGTTTATCAGTAGTGAGTTTACCGATCATTATACCGTCAATGAAGATATTGACTGATAATTCGGGTCGGGAAGTGAACAGGTCGTTAAGATATCAGTAGTTGTGGTTGTGGTTCAGTCCCCACCAAGTCGGAGACGGACAGGTTTGCGTGTTTGTGTGTTGCCGAGACCGAGGACAATTTTGAATACGGTTTGTTTAGTGCGGGTTCCTGTGATAATCTACAGTAGTTACCAGTTATG